TTATGCCGCATCAAGATGCTCTTGAAGGGGCCTAGACACCACACGAGCCAGCTGCGAAACCGAGAACGCAATATCGGGGCGAGTGTTGACCGACGCATACATCAAGCTCCCCACCATTGACTGGAACCGACGCTGCAACTCGGGCTCCAACACCTCACCCTCCTCTTCATCAAGGTGTAGCTGAAACCCTGAGGGTAGAGGAGTCTTCACACTCCTCCCTTCCTCCAGCTCATACCTCTCCCCCATGGCTGCAAGGTACTTGTGTTGGTGAAGCCTCAACCATCCCTTCACCTCGTCCCGCTCCACGTGAAGACCAAGGTAATACCCCACTGGTCCAAGGGCCTTGCATTGAAAGGTCTCCGTCAGCTTCCCTTGCACCTCCTTGATCCTTTCCAGGGATGGAGAGAAGAGGAGAATGTCATCGACGTAGCCAAGGAGAAACACTTTCTCCTCTTCCCCCTCGGTTATGAAGAGACTCTCGTCGCACCCGCTAACTTTGAAGCCAAGAGCCTCCAACGCCTCCACCAGCCTTGCATACCAGCACCTTGGAGCTTGTTTGAGGCCATAGATGGCCTTGTTGAGCCTGCAAACACGTCCGCTCCCATCGTCGTACCCCTCTGGCTGCTTCATGTAAATCTCCTCATCTACCACGCCATAGAGGAATGCCGTCTTCACATCCATTTGCTCCAACTTCCAACCACAAACGGCAGCAGCTGCTAGCAACACCCGGAGCGTAGGAGCCTTAGCAACAGGGGAAAACACCTCCTTAAAGTCAACCCCCTCCCTTTGCTGGAAGCCCTTGATCACAAGTCTTGTTTTGCGCCTCTCCAACCTCCCCTCCGCATCGGTCTTCACACGTAATATCCACGTGCAGTCCAATGCCTTTCTTCCCGGGGGCAGATTGGTGAGGGTCCACGTTCCATTCTCCATGAGGCTCTTAAACTCGTCCTCCCTTGAAGCCAACCAAGCCTCTCGATCATCTCCAGCAAGTGCTTCCTCCATTGAAGCTGGTTCATGAAGTAAGTTGACACCGAAGCAACAAATCTGCTCCATCTCCCCCTCTGCTCCCTTCTCCTCATTATCTTCCTCCTCCTGGACCAGCAATGCCTTGGGACCCCCAAGCCTTTCATACTTGAGGAAATCCCTTGGGTGAGTTGCTCTCTTGGGCCTCTCCTTGGCTGCACCTTCCTTAACTCCACCACGGACAGCACCTCGCTTTCCTTGGGTTGTCCGCCTTGATGGAAGTGTAGGGGATGGTGTAGGCTGCTGCACCTCCTCCTCGGCATCACCTCTCTCAGCTACAGGGGCCTGCTCTTGCTGCAACACTCCTTCCACCTCTGTTGCCTCCCCTTCAGCACCTGCCAAGTCATGTGACACCTCCGTTACCTCTGAAGATGAGGACAACTCGATGGGAATGAGTGGATCATTCGTTCCCACCTCTATTCCGAGCGGAATGGTGACCTTGCTCCTCCCTCGCTCCAACCACTCCTTGAACATGAGCCCCTCCATGAACTTGGCATCTCTGGTGGTGAAGATGGTGTTGGCTTTTGGGTCCCACATGAGCCACCCCTTGCTCCCTTGTGCAAGTCCCAAATGAACAGCCCACACCGCCGCCGCTTGAAGCTTGTCACGCTTCTCCTTAGGGACGTGGACGAGTCCCATGCACCCGAAGACTCGAAGCATATCCACCAGGGGCTTCTTGCCTCTCCACTTCTCCATAGGGACCCAATGCTGCCCCCCCACATGAGTCAATACTCGGTTCTTGATGACGGTGGCATGGCGAATAGCGAGGGGCCAGAGTCGTAAGGGTAGACCCGAGTCTACCAACATCGTTCTCCCGCCCTCCATGATGGTCCGGTTCGCTCTCTCTGCCACGCCATTGGATTGAGGGGTATAGGCCGTGGTGAGCTGCTGCTTGATGCCGTGCCGCTTCAGCCAGCTCCGGAACTCCGCTCCCAAGAACTCCCCACCACGGTCGCTACGAATCGCCTTCACCCGCTTGCCGCTCTCTCGCTCCACCATGGGCAGCCACTCTTCAATGATGACCCTTGCAGCATCACTCTTCTTTGCTAGTGGAAAGGACCAGGTGAGCCTTGTGTTGTCATCCACCATGGTCATGGAATACAGGGCCCCACCATCTCCTTCACCTTCATGGGTCCAACGAGATCCACATGCACGAGCTCCACCGGGTCACTTGACTTCCCCTCCACTGAATGGAATGGAAAACGTGAAAACTTGCTGGTCAAGCAAGTCTCACAAGATCCCACCTCCTTGGGCTCCCCCTTTATCCTCAGCCCCTGGACTCTTTCCTCCTTAAACAGCTGCTGCAACTGAGGTAGCGCCTCGTGGCCAAAGCGACGGTGTGCGGTGAGTCAATCCGTCTCACTCGTGCTAGAAGTTACACTTGGTAGCGCAGCCCCTCCATGCCCAAGGAGCCCACCATCACTGTCATCACCACCTCCTCCATTGTCCACGTGGTTAACACGCCCTCCTCTCACATCTCCAGCAGCCAAGCGTGCAGCCGCCTCCTTCCATGGCAGCACTGGTATCTCCCACATGGACCGGTGCATGTCCTTGCCGCCTCGGAGGTCCCACAACACGCGCCCATCCAGAGTTGCCTTGAAAACCTTTGTGCCCAACATCTCCATCTTCATCCCTGCCTCACTCAAGGCCTTGGTAGAGAGTAGGTTGGCACACAACCCAGGAACAAGGAGAACACGCTTCAGCCCCACAAGCCTCCCATCCGCACCCATGAACATGGCTCTCCCCTCGCCACGCACGGGTACAACTTGGCCGGTGGCTGAAACGACGGTGGCTGCCTTCGATGGCCTGACTTCATCCAGTAGATCCTCTCGGTTGGTCATGGTCATGAAGGCTCCCGTGTCGATGACCCAATGGGAGGAGCGGTGAAGAGCAACCTTGCTGGCCGGCACAACCATGTCCTCGGAGCACGCCTCTCCTACATGGTAGAACATGCCGCAGTATCCGCCAGCACCTCCATCGCCCTCCTCGCTGCCCATGCCTTCTCCCATAGCTCCATGAACGCCCTTGGAGCCCTCAAGAGATGGCTGACCAGGCCTCCAACCGTCAGGTAACTTGCGGCACTTGAACCATGGGTGACCTTCCACATGGCAATACCAGCACTTGCCGCCACACCGCTTGCCTCCCTTGTTGCCACGCTTCCCTCCCAAATGCTGATCCCCTCCAGAGCCTTCCTTGGCCTTCCCTTTCTTGCTGCCACGCCCCTTGAAGCCCTTCATGCCATAGGCAGAGCCTCCACCTTCACCGGCAGCGGCGGTCAGCTCCTTCCTCCGAAACTCCTCTTGAAGAACTTGTGCACGAATCCACTCAAGGGACCACGAGTCCTTCATCCCATTAAGGTTGACCACCAAGGGCCCCCACGACTCCGGCAGCAGGGAGAGAGCCTTGTAGCACTTGATTTTCTCAGGGTAGTCCACACCAGCAGCAGAGAGCTTCACATAAAGGTCCCGGAGTTGATCGAACGCTCCTTGCACGGCATCACCCTCGTTGATCTTCACCGCATGGAGTTGTCGCTCGAGCACCACCACCATCGCTTCGCTGCTGGGGGCATGAACATCCTTCAATATCTTCCATGAATTAGGACCACACTCAACTTCCTTGATGAGATGCTTGATGTGGTGCAGCTGGTTGGATGAGAGGCATTGGGAGAGAAGGAAGAATCCATCCTTGGACCGGCGATCCCATTCCTTGGTCGCTCCTTCGCTCGCAGGCCTCTTCAATTCTCCATCCATCACTTCAAGCAGCCCATATTGGTTGAAGAGAAGCTCCATCATGAAGCTCCATGATGCCCAATCCTCCCCAGAGAACTTCTCCAGGTTGAATGCCTTCACATCATCCTTAGCTGATGTTGAAACGGAAGCCATTGGTGCAGATCCGCCTGCAACGCCTCTTCCCGCTTCCCCAGCGCCTCTCACGCCACCACTGCCACTGGGACCAGCTGGAGCAGAACCTTCAGCCTCCATATTCACCCACGAACAGAGTAGAACAGCTCTGATACCACTTGTTATAGTCTGCAGTCCACTTAGGGGTCGCGGATGTCCATGAAACCGCCTAAGTAGAAGCTGACGACTTCGAACCGCCTCTGTTCAAAACACAGTCACGGCCAGCTTCGATAAGACACGAGGCTGAAAGTTGGACAGCAATTAGCCTTAGGTGTCTGATTTCCAACGGTATATTACTTGCTACTATCAGAGGTGTACGCACTACGCAGTGAACTAAAACGTAAGCTCGGCTGAAAATCGTGTATTCTCATTGATGCAAGGAAGAGGATCATCCTGGGAACTCAGAGAAGGTTGAGTCCTAGGGGAGAAAGGCTAGAGAAGGATGAAAACATCCTAGCTAGGTCAGCAAAGCCAACCACACTTGGATGTTCAGAGCTGTACCCAAGGCTACCAATGGTGAGTCAAGCCAACATGAGTCAGCTTGTCTTCCCACTTGCACCCTCTTGCAAGCTGCTTCCAGGAAGACCACACTTATCAAAAGGAGGGTGGTAGAGTCCCACTTGACCACCTGTACTTCTTGTCTCATTCTCTGTCCCTGCACCATTGTCATGACAACAATGAAAGGGTGGCAAGGGAAATGCTGCCAACAGTGCACCATGGCTACGGAACAGTGAATTTCGACAGCTGTCACGCAATGCTCCGATGTTGGATCGTTCTGAAACTTGGTGACCACCTGACAAAAAGGGCAAAAGACTGCAAGACCGAATTTCAGACCAATCAGAGCTTGGTAGACGAGTCAGCAGCCGAAATGGTGAACTCGGGTGTTACCAAAAAAGAGTAACACACACTTCCGCGTTGCCATAAGTCTTGAAACTTTAAATGTTGTCATGCCTTGGTAACTGCTTCAAAAATTCTGAAACTTTGAGGGTTTGAAGAAAACATGTTGAAGAAGCTCCCCACAAAATTCCAGAAGCTGCGCAGGCTTGTAGGCTGAATGGGAGTGCGATGACCGTGCCACTATAGTGTGTTGGCACAACACAGGCCAGTGCGCCTGCTGCTGATAACGCTGTGGAGTGTCGCGCCAGCGACGAGACGACTTGCACTCCTGGTGGGGCGCAGGCGAATGGGGCCGAGACGGGCAACGGTCGGGTGACGGGGGACGCGACGGCCGACCTGTCGGAGCCATCGACGTCACAGCAGGCGCCAAAGGCGAAACCAACAGGGCCGGGGCGGCAGTGGTGGCGGACGCCGCCTGCGGTGACAAAGCAGCGGCAGGCGCTGAGCCAGCGGGGATGGCAGCGGGCGTCGCAACAGGCGCGGCAGGAGCAGGAACGGGCGGATCAACACCAGCCTCGTTAGGGACAGTCGCCGACGACACAGCATGAGGAGCCAAGTGAACGGCGGCAGCAGCAGGAGCGGACGGCGCAGGGACAGGCACAGATTGGGCAGGCAAGCTCGCCGCAACAGGAACCGCGGGTACGAGGGGAGGAGGCATTTCAGAGACTACTGTCTTGGGCTTCAGAGCCGGCGGCAGCGGGGGCTTCGTCGCCATGGTTGCCTTTTCGGCCACCGTCTGGGAATTGGCGGGCGCAGCCGACGAGGCGGCAGCGCGCTCTAGCGACGGCTCAAGCCCTCCGGCAATCACCATCTCTGAACCAATGAGACAATGGGGCGAGGATACAGGCTGGTAGTGGCACAGGCGGAGGACCGGAAAACGGGTATCAAGCTGCAGGGCGTCAGGCTTTAAACGCTCTAGAAGCAGCTACTGAAGACGAAGAAGCTGCAGACCCTTCTTATAGGGAGGAAGCGATCCCCACGAGTGAAGACGGGGAGTCTGAGGATGAAGAGGGAGCACGGCAGACGGGAGGAAGGACAGAGTCAGGAGCAAGGGAGTTGGTCGCGCAACAGCCAGAAGCAGGGCAGGGACCGTCCGATACTGATCGGACGGACGCAATTCCAACCGTCCCACAGAGCACGAGGCCGAGTCGCCCTCGCCGAATTAGATCTGCCAACATCGGGAATGCGCCGCCGCCAGCACCCCACGGAGCGCGCTATTTTTCACCAGAGAAGCTGGCGAAGCATGAGGACAAGTTCGCTGACATAGCGAACTGGGACATGCCAGCCCTTTGCGACAGTCGACAACCGTCGCTGACACGACTATTACCGCCAAATCTATGCCAGCTGTTCTCGCTGGCCTTACTGACCCCGCTCCTCTACTTGTCGCGTAACCTGGATTCGGAAGCTGGCTGGCGCCTGCTACTCTTTTTACCCCGCCTGACACTTCGCCAAACATCGCCAAAACGCCCTGACTGGCCCCAAATCAAGGCCCGGCTCCGAGCCTTCCAACGTGGGGAATGGAACCAGCTGTACCAGGACGCAGTAAACGCGGTCAACACGCCCCCCGCGCCACGACATCAGCCCGACGCGACCGGGGTCATCAGCAGAGCCGAGGGGCTGGCGAAACGTGGCAGCCTGCGACGAGCTGTGCTGGCCCTCGAGTCAACACCTGTCTGTACACCCAGCCCGGAAATTTTGGCCGAGCTTCACAAAAAGCATCCGTCAGCGGGGGCCGAGACGTTGACCTGGCATACAGTTCGCGAGTCGGATCTGACCATCGCCTACGCCGATTTCGCCAAACTTCTGGGGAGATGCGAAAACGGCGTGGGTGCTGGACCATCTGGCATGACTTTCGAACATTTACAAGATGCGGCGGTAACCAACGCGCGAGTCAGCACCCATCTGCATGCCCTGGTAAATACGCTGTTGGGGGGAAACCTGCCGGGCCCGGTGGCAGACCTGCTGACTTCGTCGCGTCTTGTCGCTTTGGCCAAGCCTGGTGGAGGGGCTCGGCCAATCGCCATCGGCGAATGCCTGACTCGTGTGACCGCTAAAGCTGCATTGGCGGTCATGGGCGATGCTGCCCGCGAACACTTCTTACCACTACAGTACGGTATAGCAGTGCCAGGTGGAGCCGAGGCGGTGATCCACACAACAAGGGCTTTTCTGGACGCACGCCCCAACAGCCTGGTGCCGCAAGCTGACATCGCAAACGCCTTCAATAGTATTTCGCGATTGGCTATTGCGACCGCGTTACAGGAGCCCAGTCTCTCGCCACTGCAACCTTTTGTGAAGCTGACATACGGTAACCCATCGCTGTTACACCTGGACGTCAGTTTTGGGAGCGTACCCCTGACAAGCGAACGGGGTGTCCGACAAGGAGATCCTCTAGGCCCATTATTGTTTGCAGCTGGGATTCACCCGACACTCCGCGAAAAAGCTGAGGCCCACCCGGATGTGCTGTGTTTGGCGTATGCGGACGACGTGACGTTTGTGGGCGAACAAGATGCTACTGTAGTTGCATTCAATTTTTTCACTTCGAAGTTGCAGCAGCTGGGTCTGACACACAACCCACAGAAATGCGCGGCATGGAGCAATACAGTGGCAGTCGAAACACAATTACCTCCGGAAGTACCGTTCAAGGCCGATGGGGTTCGCCTGCTTGGCAGTTTACATTTGGCCGACCAACGGTGCGGCGAAATTCCTAGCGGGCCAGCTGGAGGAGCTGGCGAAGCCCTTACCAGTCATCGAGCGGGTCGACCCCCAAGTAGCCTCGCTACTGATCAGTCGCTGCATTTGAAGGCGTGTCGCCTACCTCACCAGGACAACACCCATCCACCTCCTCCCTCGAGACACCTGGGCCTAGTGGGGTCGTGACCTTCTGACCGCGTTACTCACCTCATGCGACATCCGTTTTCCATCGAGTAGGGACGAGCAAACACGGGTCTGGGCACAGGCATCACTGCCTTCGTCGCTAGGAGGGGTCGGCATCACAGACCCCACAATTGAAGGAGTCTACGGTTTCATAGCTAGTTTCACCCAGGCGGTACAACTTCTCTCCTCCCTCGATCTAGACCTAGGAAACGCCTTGGCGCTAGCACGTCAGCACATGCTCTTGCCCCGGGATGACAGCACACGGCTCCACACCTGGCTTGCGGAGTGTGAGATGGCCCTGCCAGGTGACGCGCGGGAGTTGTTAGAGAAGGAAAGACTGGAGCGTTCAGACATACGAATGCAGTACGCACTGGCTCTACAGGTTCACGGCAGTCGCTATGCGGTGCAGGTTCAGGCGACTAGGAAAATTGACTTGAATCCGCTCTCAGGACATACACAGCGGATGTTTTTGCTCACGGGATATGGCACCGGTGATTGGCTCATGGCGATTCCCATAGCAGCGAATAGACGCATTGGGCCGGTGCACTTTGCTAACGCCGTCCGTTTCCGTCTAGGTCTCCCTTTCTCAACTCCCAAAAACTGTGATTGTGCGGACCACACTGCCATCACTGACCCTCGACTTCCTAACCACCTGTTTCGCTGCGGCACGGGGAAGCAGCGCATCAACACTCATAACGAGCTCAGAGACGCATGCATCAGCATGGCACAGGACGCGGGTTTTATTGTTCACAGCGAGTCAGCTACATACTGCCCCATTAAGGAACAGACAGCTGATTTTACGATGACAGACAGAAGCAGTGGGGCGGTCTTGGTGTGCGATGTCATATAAGAGGCGGTTGGCTTCTTCCCCCTAGCGGTCGACACCTATGGCTGTCCTTGCGCCGAGGTACCTGTCTTCCTCAAGCTCCTAGCAGACACAGCGGCTCGGCGCAACTTCAATGCCGACTCAAAATCCTACTACGCCGCCAAGTTTCTGCACCAATTCAGGCAACGGTGGTCGGTGGCCTTACAGAGAGCGCAATCCGTGGGACTCCTCCTTAAGTTGGGCGAGGCAGCGGCGGCAGAAAACCCACCTGTGGGAGGCATAGGGCAGGAGCTGCACCTTGGGGATTGCTTCGCGGTAGTTGAGCCATTTTTGGAGCTCTAGAAAGGGCGGTGGCGTGGTAGTTGTGTGACTGGTTGGTCTTGTTTGTTTATTTGGGTAGCTAGACCTCGCATTCCATATCTTGCATGTCTGTACCTTCCAACACTATCAATATACGGACCATTAGAGAGAGAGAGAGGATCCTAGCCTCTGCCCTCTCCCCTTTAGCCCTATGCCCTCTCTGTTGTGAGCTATATAAGAGGCCCCTCTGGGCCTCTTCATCTCATTGTTCAGTTGGTGCAGAATTTTTTCGCACGGTTCGAGAGAGCGAGAGAGAGAGAGAGAGAGAGAGAGAGAGAGAGAGAGAGAGAGAGAGAGAGAGAGAGAGAGAGAGAGAGAGAGAGAGAATCCTAGCCTCTGCCCTCTCCCCTTTAGCCCTCTGCCCTCTCCTTTTTGAGCTATATAAGAGGCCCCTCTGGGTCTCTTCATCTCATTGTTCAGTTGGTGCAGAAATATTTCACTCGCGCGGGAGGGGACGGCAAGTGACAACACACACAGTGGTTCATAATTGAAGGCAGTACAAGCATGGCATTTTCTACGGTAGCCTAGCCAAGCAAACCAAGGATGGGGCAAACGGAGCTCGCGTCTACATGCGGTGAAGAACGCCCGTCAGGGAGCGCCACAACTCCCGGACCACAAGCGTGCTTGCGGCGATCGCCGCGGCTCCTCATACAGCGCGCAAGTGCCACCTCAAGCCCCGGACAGCCTCGTCAAGCTGTCCCGCAGCAGCAGCGCCACCCTCCGCGGGCGCAGCCAGCACGGGCGCCAGCAGCACTACGAGCTGGTCCGCCGCGTCCATGCAAGTGTCACGCTGGCGGCCACGGAAGGTCTCAGGAGGGATCACGGGGAGAGAGGAATGAGCAAGGACCTGAATCAACAGCAGCGCGTGGAGACTCTCCGCGAGGCGGTGGAGCTGGCCGAGTGTCGCCTCGGGAACACGGGTCTGCGGAGGCTGGAGTGCCTCCGCCAGGAACTGGAGCGACTCATCTGCATCAACTGGGAGAGCATACGGAGCCGCCACCGTGCCACCATCCGTGGCCACAAACTCCACTCCCGCAACGGGCGGAACCGGCAGCAGATGAAGACGAGAGCCGGGAGCAGGTGCCGAGACAGCAGGAGAAGGAGCTGGCGGCGCAAGGATCTGAGGAGGAGGCGCAGCAACATGCTGCGGGTTCGCGGGGAGCGCGGCCGGACGAGGAGCCTCAAGGGCTGGCGAGGCGCGCATCGAACTGCTCTGGCTCTGCGCCGCCCTCTCCTCTCGAACCGCCCTCGACACTTCCCGCTGAAGATCCGCCATCGTCACGGGCGAACGATACCCCCCACCCCCGCCACGAGCACGGGGACCCCTCTAATCCCCCTGACCTCAGGGGTGAGCGGGCCAGTGCGACTGTTGCTGATAACGCCGCGGAGACTCCCGCCGGCGACGAGACGACTTGCGCTCCTGGTGGGGAGCGGGGGAATGGGGGCGCGACGAGCGACGGTCGGGCGACGGCGGGCGTGACGCTTGACCCGCCAGGGCCATCGGCGTCACAGCAGGGGCGGACGGACCCGCCGCCGAGGGCTCAACCAACGGAGCCGATCCGCCAGTGGTGGCGGACGCCGCCTTCGGTGACGAAGCAGAGGCCGGAGCAGGCACGGCGGGGACAGAAGCGGGCGGTGCAACAGGGGCGCCAAGGACAGGCGCAGGGAGACCAGCAGCACCCCCAACATGGGTAGACGCCGACCGCGCGACAAGGGGAGCCGAGGGGCTAGGGGCCGCAGGCGGAGTAGACGGAACAGCAGCGGGGGCAGACGGGTCAGTCTCCGACGCGGCAAGGAGACCCGCGGGTGCGTGGGGAGGAGTCTTTTTAGCGACTGTTGTCACGTGTTTCGGAGCCGGCGGTAGAGGGGGCTTTGTCGCCATGGTCGCCCTTTCGGGCTCTGCCTGAGGCTTGGCAGCCGCAGCCGACCAGGCGGCAACGAGCTCTGGCGACGGCTCAGGCGCACCGGCAATCACCATCTGTGGAGCGGAGAGGTCGCGGGGCTAGGAGACAAGATACTAGCGGGACGGGGGGAGGACCGGAGAACGGCTATCAGGCAGCAGCACGCCTGGCTTTAAACACGCTGGAAACAACTAATGAGGAAGAGGAGTTGAGAGACCCTTCTTATAGGGAAGAATCGCTCCCCCCAAGTGAAGATGATGGACCAGAAGACGAAGGCAGGGCAAGGGAGACATTGGGGAGAGGAGCAGCCGATGTTGGACACTCGGCAATACAAGTGCCACAGGCGGGCCATCGACCGTCGGATGTCGATCGAATGGGTGATATCCCAACGCCAACTCCCACCACGAGGACGAGCCGCGCTCAATGAAATCGAACCGCCGCAAATGTCGTGACGCGCCAATCCGCCCTGACCCCCCGCTATTTTTCGCTTGACGAGTTAGCGAAGCGAGCAGACCTGTTCGCATCTATTGCGAACTGGGACATTGCGGCACTCAGCGACAGTCGACAGCCTTTGCTGTCCCGACGTTTACCGCCAAACCTTTGCCAACTGTTCTCGCTGGCGCTTCTGACGCCGTTACTCCACCTTTCGCGAAACCCTGAATCCGAAACGGGATGGCGCCTACTGCTTTTTCTCCCGCGCCTGACACTTCGCCAATCCTCGCCACAGCGACCGAACTGGCCAGGGATCAAGGCCCGGCTCCGAGCCTTCCAGCGATGCAAATGGGAGCAGCTGTACCAGGACACGGTGACTCGGTCAACACACCCCCACTGCCACGACAGCAGCCCAACGTGACAGGGGTCATCAGCCGAGCCGAAGGACTGGCGAAACGTGGCAGTCTACGCGGAGTCGTGCTGGCTCTGGAGTCAACACCAGTCTGCACCCCCAGTCTGGAAATCTTGGAGGAGCTCCGCCAAAAACACCCGCCCGCAGTACACGACAGAGTGTCCTGGCCCGCGCCACCCGAGTCAACGCTGTCCATAACCCACGCGGAGTTCGCCAAGCTCATGGGGAGATGCGAGAACGGAGTTGGAGCCGGACCGTCTGGCACGACATTTGAGCACATGCGCGACGCGGCGATCACCAACGCGATGGTCAGCACCCATCTGCACGCCTTGGTCAATACCATGCTTGGAGGAAAGTTGCCAGGCCCGGTCGCAAAACTCCTGACGGCTTCGTGACTAATAGCTTTGGCCAAACCTGGTGGAGCCGCCCGGCCAATCGCGATAGGCGAATGTTTGACGAGACTGACAGCCAAGGCAGCCCTGACAGCCATGGGAGAAGCTTCCCGCGATTACTTCCTGCCACTCCAGTACGGTGTAGCAGTGCCCGGGAGAGCGGAGGCAGTAATCCATGCAGCCAGGGCATTTTTGGATGCCCGTCCCAACAGCCTGGTTCTGCAAGCAGATATCTCAAACGCATTCAACAGTATCTCGCGACAAGCAATCGCTACAGCGTTACAGGAGCCCACACTCTCGCCACTGCAGCCGTTTGTTAAACTGACCTACGGTAACCCGTTGCAATTGCTCCTAGACGCGAACTTCAACTGCGACCCACTGCAAAGTGAACGTGGTGTCCGGCAAGGGGACCCACTCGGCTCGCTACTGTTCGCAGCAGGGGTACACCCCGTGCTTCGTGAGACAGCTGAGGCACACCCCGATGTGCTGTGTTTGGCGTATGCGGATGACGTTACATTCTTGGGTGACTCGTCTCGCACTGTAGCTGCTTTCAGGCATTTCACAGCCAAACTTGCACATAATCCCCGGAAATGCTCGGCCTGGAGTTCAACCACGAGCACACAGCCACAACTCCCGCCCGGCGTGCCATACTCCAAGGATGGAGTGAGACTTCTGGGTAGTTACCTCGGGACTGACGCTGGAGCAGCCTCGTTTCTGACGGAACAGCTCGACGAGATGACGAAGCCTCTACCACTCATAGAACGTGCCGGCCCCCAGGTGGCCGCACTTCTAATCACGCGATGCATCTCCAAACGGGTAGCCTATCTTATTAGAACGACTCCTCTCCACCTCCTACCCCGCGACACCTGGAGCCAGTGGGGTCGGGACCTACTTACCACCCTACTTACCTCATGCGACATCCGCACACCAACTTGCCGGACCGAGCAAGCTCGCGTCTGGAAACAGGCGTCACTTCCCACATCGTTAGGCGGCATCGGCATTACGGACCCGCTTATAGAAGGAGTTTACGGTTTCACAGCAAGTTTCACCCAAGCGGCGCTCTTCCTGTCCTCCCTCGCGCTAGATCCATCGAGTGCTTTAACGGTAGCCCAGAACCACATGCTCCTGCCGTGGGACGGCAGCACACCTCTGCATTCCTGGCTCACGGAGTGCGAAGCGGCCCTACCGTTAGATGCACGCGAGTTCCTGGAGAAGGAGAGGCTGGAGCGATCGGATATTCGGCTCCATCATGTGCTCGGGCTGAAGGTGCACGAGAGTAGATACGCCGCGCAGGTCCAGGCAACAAGGCGCATGCGGCTGAACCCGCTATTAGGCCACACTCAATGTATGTTCTCGTTGACTGGGTACGGCAACGGTGATTGGCTAACTGTGATCCCTATCGAAGCCACGCGACAGATAGGCCCCATACACTTCGCCAACGCCGTGCGCTTCCGGCTAGGGCTCCCCTTCTCAACTCCTAAGAACTGCGACTACGCGGACCAGACAGCTATCACGGATCCCCGCCTCCCGAACCACCTCCTCCGCTGCGGCACAGGCAAGCACCGCATTAACACTCATAATGAGCTGCGGGATGCATGCATTAGCATGGCGCAACACGCGGGCTTCATTGTTCACAGTGAGTCCGCCGCTCACTGCCCCATTGAGGAACAAACCGCCGACTTCACCATGACGGATAGGAGTAGTGGGGCGGTTTATTTCTGTGATGACACCATCATGGATCCCATCAGCACCAGGGATCTAGAGGCACAAAAGGGGAGGGGATGGGCAGCCCAGGAACAAGCAGATAATAGATCAAACACTACGCCAACCGGCCAGAGACGGTCGGCTTTTTCCCACTGGCGGTAGACACCTACGGCTGCCCATGTGTGGAAGTCCCGGTCTTCCTCAAGCTTCTAGCGGACACAGCGGCTCGGCGCCACTTCAACGCCGACTCTAAATCTTTCTACACCGCTAAGGGGAATTCAAAACGACCTAGCTAGCCATGTACTATAAGGGGTGCATTCCCTTATTACAGCGAAATCCAACCGTGCGACTCCAGACAGTTACGAAACTGTTTGGACAGAATCCTCACCACTACTGCTGCCTGGTGCTGTCTACTCAACGGTCCAGATATCTTCGTAACCGTACGACCCTTCGCGTCACTTCCGTCTTTTGTTCTTCATTTTCGGTAGTGCGTGTTTCGATTGCTGCGGTAAAGAGTGCACAGTGATGCTTCAATAAGTACTATTCGTAACACCCCCCTTCACTCCTGGCCGTAGCGAGTCTTAACCCGCTTGACTACTCCGCTGAGTTCGTGGCAGTGTTGGTACTGCTGACATGACAGCTTCTTCGTGAGAAAGTCAGCTGCCATGTCACCCGTCGGGCAGTAGGTTAGGTCAACTTTGCCCTTGTCAACTTCGTCCTTGACGAAGAAGTGCCGCAGCGCGATGTGTTTGGTGCGGTTGACGAATCCAGGCTTGTTTGCGATCCTTATCGCACTCTGGCTATCGCAGTGCAGGCGAAAGTTCGCCGAGGCTGGAATTTTTGCCTCCTGCAGCAGTTCCTGAAGATAGAGGACTTCGCGAACGGCTGCTGTTGCTGCGATGAATTCAGCTTCCGCTGATGACAAGGCAACCAACTCCTGCTTCTGTGAATTCCAGGAGATGGGACCGCTGCGCTCGAGCTGGAAATGAAAGCATGTCCTGGACAGTCGATTATCAAGGTCAGCAGCATGATCGGCGACCACGTAGCCGATGAGGTTGAAGGACGAGGTTGGGATGGTGGAGTAGCAAAGCCCAACATTGGGCGTGGAGATGAAAAACTGAAGTGCCCGCTGGAGATCTAGTAAATTCCCAGCCGTTGGTTTGCGTGAGTACTGAGCCAACTGGCTCGCGATCTAGGAGAGATCGGGCCTGCAGGTAACGGATGCAAAGAGTAGGCATCCATGCTGCTGCTGGTAGGTGTGAAGCTCAGCAGGGGACAGGGCTTTATTGTCGGGTTTGTGGTTGGGTCCTGGAGTGCGGTAAGGGGTGGAGAGTGGTGCAGGCGCAATGTTGAAGCGCTTACTAAGTTTCTCTGCGTACTTGGCTGCTGAGATATGAATGGCTTCCAGCGAGTAAGAGATGTTGAGCCCGAGGAACTGCTTCACGTCATGGTTGCAGGTGATGTCGACGTGCCCTGCAAGGTTTTTCTCGAACTGCTCGAGCAACTCGTTACTTGACCCTGTGTAGAGGAGGTCGTCGACGTAGACCGTGAGTAGGATGTATTCGCTGCGAAAATCGCGATGATACATCCCTGGATCGTGAGGCAGCTGCTTTAACCCAATTTCAAGCAGTATATTGTGCAGGTACTGCTGCCAGAGCCTTGGCGCCTTCTTCATCCAGTAAAGGGATTTTCGCAGCTGGCAGACACGTGAATCCCCTTTGCCGAATGTGTGTGGCTGCTCCACATAGATCACTACATCGACTAACGCGTACAGGAACGTGTTCTTCACATCGATTTGTCGGAGTGGGAGGTGTCGTGCGGCAGCGATGGCGAGGAGAATTCTGATGGAGGTATGACGACTAACCGGTGCAAATGTCTGGTCGAAGTCAATGCCGTGCCTCTGATCGTAACTGCGCACTACCCAGCACGCCTTGAATCGCTTGATCGTGCCGTCAGCTGCGGTCTTCATGCGGAAGACCCATTTCCTGGAGAGAATCTCCCTTCCCTTAATTGCGGCTCAATCGACGAGCACCCAGGTGTCGTGGGACTCAAGTGCCTTAATTTTTGCATCCATTGCTCCGCGCCACTCCTTGCTGTGTGGTCCCGTGAGTGCTTGGCGCGGATTGTTCGGCTCGAT